GGACTGTTCAGTCATGGTCTAGTTCGACAGCAGCATCATATGCCTTCTTTACAATTCTGTCATTAGATAAATTGGTTAGCCTAAGCCAGTATTTGATCATTTGTGTCTGAGCATCAATGTACAGTGGTAAGGTTCCTAGCTCCCCCCTTACAGCGGAATTGACAGAGCTCTTTGGAATATGGAGAAGTATTTTGTAGAAATTTAACAGAACATACTCTAGGTCAGGAATTTCATAACATATCATTGGTTGTTCCAATGTTATGTTTTCTAATATTTCTGAGTGGTATATTAAATTAAGTTTGTCACTATATCTTTTAAAACGAACGAGAACGGGGCGAGGAGATAAAGGGTCAAGTTTCTTCCCTATGCGGGAAGTTCTAAGGATGGCGACATCTGGTGCCAAAATTGGACCAAGAATGTTAGTTACTTTTTCTCTGACATTTTCGTTGGGACATTCTTCTATTCCTTTCAGGATCAAGTCTCTACATTGTGAATTTGTTCCTAAGACTTCACTACAGTACAACAAAATTGGTTTTACTAAAGTGTTAAACAGGTCGAGGGCAAGTGGGATGGAGGAGTTGGAGTTTGATGATAATATATCATAAGAGAAATAAATAGCAACGAAACACAAACACATAAACAGTTAATCCAAAAAGAAAATTTCAAAATCTTTCACACCCCTTGGATCCGGTATGGTCTGTCCCATATAGTGTACCTTCTTTCTGGGAATCCTTTGATGGAAAAGCTGTGAAATCGCCATGACAGGGCATGGTTTCTGATAGGGGGAGATAGTGTCATATTGGTCAAACTGAGCCTGGGCTTTTCAGATGCAGCTGACAATGGTGGCTGAGCCCATAAGTTGGAGTTGAGGTTTTAAAATGTTTGATATGTTAATGTGCAAGGAATGTAATAAATGTGCTACCACTGAGATGTGTTGGAATAGTAGTAGGTACATGTAGTTACAACCCTATGGCAGTATGGCAGTGAAAAATTTGTAGACATTTTCCCTCAGGATCAATTCTTAGTCATCGCAACTCTTAGCTTCTATCTTCCTGTGTGTAGAGTGACTAGGAATTGATTCCCATCAAGCCATCTCCGACAGTAAATGACTCATCCCTAAATGTCATGACTACAGAATGTAAGTGCTCTTGTATCCCAGCTAAAAGCTATCTTTCCGTCGCCAATGGTCTGGTATATTGATAGTTGGTTACCTTCAACATCTAATCGTTGTAGCTTTTTTCTTTGGATTGAGGAAATGTGTTGTAAATGGGTGCTTGTAGTAATGATCATTGCACGCAGGGCCAACTCTGGTCTCTTCTATCTTCATTTGGGACATTCAGCCGTGGAATGCTTGATGGCTGCTCCGAGATTTGGCGATAACGCTGACAAAAGGTCATTAAGTAGGCGGCCGCCATCAACGCAGCCTTTCTATATAAGGACATGCCCTCGGTTTTTATGAGAGCTTTTTAGTGGGCTCTGTTTTTCTATTGGTCTACCTGTTAATGCAATTATGGACTGTTTCAAAATGAAAAAAATAAAAATGTAATATCATATATGAATGTAGGGATGACCACACCCTTGTTTTACACTGTACATATTGTTCACATGTTTTAAAAACTATGATTTTATTGCCTGTTTTAGGGCCCATCTCATTCATTTGATTGGGGAATTTCATTTGAAAGATTAGGAATCTCTGTGTTGAATAATTGATATGAAGTAAATTGTTGCAAAATGTAAACCATTGCTAGCATGAATGCTGTATACCTGTAATAATATTGAGTTGTAAATTTTGGTTGTGGTGGGAGGGGGGCAGTTTGTATCTTATGATCATGCCAAAACCGTTGTATACCTGGTAGGGTTTGAAATTAGTTTTCTACAAATTGGGCTCTAGTAAAAAATGTTTTAAAATGATGCCCAATGGAATGTTATATCTCACACACACACATGCAAACCCCTGTAACTGCTACTGAAAGTGAGCATGAAATTGACGATATGCTTTTACGGCGGTTGTAGGGAAAATTTAGAGGAAGTCTTATGTGTAGATATGGGGTCATCGATCAAGGTGTGCTCGTATTTCATCCCGGCCGGCTTTCCGTACTCAGACGAGATTGGGCTGGATTCACACGTCATTACAAGAGTGCTGTGGCCAGAATACATAGTATTCCTTCTGTAACATTAGCCTCCTTAGCTTAGAATTGGGGTTTTGAGATACTCTTATATGTGCTTCTTTTCTGATAGTGCAAAAGAACAATTAGAACTAGAAAGGTAACATTTGCAAAGCAAATGCATAATGTTAAGAAGAACAATTAGAACTAGAAAGGTAACATTTGCAAAGCAAATGCATAATGTTAACCTTCACATAGGTCTGCTCTGTTAATTCTTACTCAAACACATTCACGCATATGGTGACAGAAGTCTAAATCCCTCCAGGCTCCTGCTATAAAATTGCAACATTATGTAACCCAACATCAGTTACCATGGTGAGAGACAGTTTGGTTGATCAGGTCAGAGGTCAGTGTTTAGAAGGAAGAAGAAGAGGAAACGTAGCAAAAACAATATTTTTTCCTTCGGTAAACATAACTAATATGCTATCAGAAAACATAATATTATTTAAGCTAAAAAAAGCCTGACTGATAGTAACTGCTAAGGGGCTACAGTAATATTGCAATCAGGACAAAAAGTGTAATTAGGCCGAGTTTTCCACCAGCATGGTCATCTGTCGCATTGCCTTATAAGGAAATATCCTTGGTGATGTTATAAGCTTTTTTTTATTGATTGTGCCAGTTGTATGGGTGACGGGGAGAATATCTTGGGTATTAAAGCACAAATAACAGACTATACAATAGTACGAAATCAGGTACGATATAGGGTGACAAGGACTCACACAATTTCACCTCTACATTCGTTCATGACATCACAGTTCCTCAATGAATTTTACATTTGAATTCTGATGTTGCAGTTTGCAGTGGCTATTCCTATGAGAAAAGCGTTGCGTACCATGTACATGTATGAAGGCTTAGTCCGTGCAGGGCAGTGGGATTTAGCAGGCTAACCTTGTGGAAATCCCTTCCCCGGACCTGTTGTCAGTACCAGCGTTTTCTATCAGCCGTGTAAGTCCCCGTATGAGCAGGTCCAATCACTTGCACCATTTACGGATCTTTGGAAAAGCGTGGGTAGGTTTCTCAATTTTCACCGGGGTGCCCGTTAATGCTTCTGAGGTTATGTTTAAGCTGAGTGCTGCTCCTGTTAGTACAAATGTATGTGCCTGGGAATGATAAGACATATAACACAATTACCAAAACTTCAGGTACATGCTGTTATACTAGCTAGTTGCATTTGCTTCTGTAATGTTTCAACATAGTACGATACCATCTCTTCTGACTGGTCATGCTGTTTTCATGGACATCTAATGTGTGGTGTAGAATTGTCATCACAGCTATAGGCCTCAGCTAAGCCATCTCCAACTGTGCACTGAGGTTCAACTGTAATACACTGTCCCAGTATGATACATGTATATCCCTACATCCCCTCACCACCTCAAGCATAAGAAGCACTCTGTGCAGTGTCTCCAAATCTAGGAGTCTTGTAGGATTGCTCTTGACCTTGTAGCAGGTCCCTCTCTATTTCTGAAACCTCGCTTGGGGAAACCTTGATTCATTGGAGTCCTTGTAAGTACCTGCCTTGTAGACACTGATGTGGGCGACATGCCAGGAATCCTGTATTCCTCTCCTGGCAATCAGTGGGCAGCTCTATCCGTCTTTATTTGTCTGCAAGGAAGAACTTCATTCAATTCCTCCAGGTACAGAGGTATAAGTGCGTGTGTGTCTGTGTGCATGTGTGAGACTAGAAATTGTGTCATAGCTATGGTCAAGTTGTGAAAAACTAGTAGGTGCGTAGAATATGAAATTACATTTGTTGGGCAGCTGCCATTTTTTTTCTATACATATTTATTGTTACTGATACAGCTACCTGTTGACAATCACCTGATCATCTCTCTGTCACATTTGAATATCGCTTTGAACCTACATGTACCTGTACATATGACTGGAAATACATGTATATCACCCTAAGGGATAAAAAGAAGCATTTTCCTTGTTTATAATTCACAGTGGGCACACAGAGCTCATTATAGAAAGTCTGCATTACTCGTAGTATAAGGATTTAGCAGTTTTCACGGTTTTCGTTGGATTTTTGGTCAACGTTGCATCAGAATGTTGCCTGTTGCAGAGGATATCTTTTTCGACATAACATTTGGAAACTACAGACGCAATGTTAACCTTATATTCACGAATAGGAGCTTAGTGCAGGTGCAGGTGCAATACGTTTTGCCAACCTGCCACAGACCATGAAAATATTTTCTGACTTACAGTAGCTGAGGCATTGGATGTGACAGTTGGAACCCTCAGGCACACAGGCATGGCTTGTGTCCAAACCATTGCTCTCTACCCACACACACAAAGGACAAGTTGTTCAGCTCCAGCTGGGCAGGAAGTCGGCTACCTTGTGCCTTTTGTTTACACTGAACATCTCTGGTGCACATCTGTGTAGATAGAGGGAAAGGTAGTACAGGAGTAGTGATAGAACCACTACAGTCTGTCTGGATATACAAGGAGAGCGTTTTCACATTGCGTCATTGCTGTTTCAGCCGCCATGTTGTTGTCTGTGTTGGCAGTTCAGTGAATCATACCTATAGCTCAAGTGTTTTCCAAAATTTATGTTCTTCTGACACTGTCAAATATCAAGTGTTGAATGTCTATAGCTCAGAAGAGGAATATTAATAATCTTGGTAAAACACTTAGTAAAACGCTCACAGTGTACACTTTAGCAACAATCCATTGAAATGCAAAGAGTGACACTAACATGATAGCAGCACCTGCCTGCTTCATTGATGTAGACAATGAGTGAAAACACTCCTTGAAAAGATGGCACTTTTCCAGAAAATGTAAATACATGTGTACGTTATTCTTGCTAATCGTCATTCCATGTGTGTTTGTGTACAGGGAGAGTCTGGAGAAGGGCTGGGAGCTGATGGCCATCTGTCTGACGTTCTTCCCCCCCTCCCCCAAGTTCCACAGTTTTCTGGAGAGTTATGTCACCAAGAACCAGGACCCCATCGCTGACGTCATGGTAAGGCTATAGGGTGTTCTGTAAGCCTCCCTCATTAAAAACTGAAGAATCTACTGCCTTCTTAACCAGACAGATCTCATTGCATGCTAGGAGACATGTATTTTGTTAGCATCTTTTGTGATCTGTGGATCTGACCTTGAAGCATCAAATTGCAGATTCACATCCTTATAATATACAACACTTACTGTGTATATCATAGATACTTGACATTGCACTAAATATCGTAGATATGATCATGCATTTGATTTTGCATGTTGAATATAATGCATGAAGAAATTTCTGTTAACTTGACTAAATCAACCTTTGTACCTCTGTAATTGTTTGTGCTTGGACTGTACTTTGAAGCATTGAGCTAATTGCTGTTTATCATGTGTGACGTTCTCATTTTTGTGATTGCAGATGTGACATTTTGTTTGATCCCTTTTGACAGTAGCTGTAACCTCTGGTGATGTGTTGATGTTGCCTGTTAGTCTGGGACTAACCTGTGTGAATAACCACTTCTCTTTGTCTCCCCCCTCCCTCCCCTGGAGGCAATGACCCAGGTGGTGTCTGTTCTGCCTGTACTACAGGGGGTCCCCGTCACCAAGTACGCCAAGATCTGCGGCAAGCGCCTGGAGCGCATCTTCAAGTCGGGCGCGCGGCACGGCACCAAGAAGCCGTCCTTTGAGGAGATCAACCAGTCCAGGAACACCATCTTCAACCCGTCCATGTTCGGCACGACCCTGGAGGAGATCATGGAGATGCAGAAGGACCGTTTCCCGGACTACACGTTGCCGTGGATACAGACCGTGCTGTCGGAGGAGGTCCTGAGGCTGCAGGGGACGGAGACGGAGGGGATATTCCGCGTGCCGGGGGACATAGACTCGGTGAACGAGCTGAAGCTGATGTGCGACCAGTGGCAGCTGCCGGAGTGCGACGACCCCCACGTCCCCAGCTCCCTCCTCAAACTGTGGTACCGAGAGCTGGCCGAGCCGCTCATTCCACACAAGTTCTACGAGGACTGCGTGGAACACTACGAGGACGTGGAGAAGGTGTTGAACGTTGTGAATTCTCTGCCGGAGATCAACCGCCTGGTACTGTGCTATCTCGTACGCTTCCTTCAGGTCTTCTCAGCCCCGCAGAACGTGACGCAAACCAAAATGGACGCCAGTAACCTGGCCATGGTCATGGCCCCCAACTGTTTGCGCTGCCCCTTGGACGACCCTAAAGTGATCTTCGAGAACACCAGGAAAGAAATGTCCTTCTTACGCACACTACTACAGAACCTGGACACCAGCTTCTTGGAAGGAGTGCAGTGAGGCATGCTGGGAACTGCAAGGGATTATGGGCGAACATTGTCCCCTGTGGGTAACATTAATGACGAAGTACCTCGATTGTGAAGATATTTAGAAGCAATTGTAGTGTAATTATAAGTCTGAAGGATGGTTGTCCAACAGAAAGGCTGTGACAGAACATGTGGGAGAAACAAATTCTGGAAAGGAGAAGGAATGAAGGAAAGGACACAGGAGTGATACTCGTGATGTTACTGTGGGTGGCAGTACCGTGCTGTCAGACATGATGTCAGCCGCTCTGTCACCCACACAGAAGCTAAAGTTCATTAGCATGAATGTGTCACGTGACAGAAAAGTGGTGAAGAAAAACTGTGTAAGGAAAAGGATCTGCTTTAGGGATTGTTGTACTTGGAACTCATTCATTATAATTGCTTTTACTTAAGAAGTATTTTCATCTGCGAAAATAAGAAGTTGTCTGTCCTCCAAGAAATGAAGCCAAGCTTTATAAAAAATCTCATCCTGTTATGCTGTGTAACATGTTACACTGTCATAGGAAAACACTTTAATGTTGTTTAGGATGATAACTCCCTGTTTCCAATTGAAGTAGGGTCAAATGATACCGCACAATATGTATTAATGGCTTCAAATTTTCCTCAAAATTGGTCCTGGCTGGGGCACACATAGTAGAGCAAGGAAGAAAAGGATAATATCAAATTGTCACTCATAAATGTTTTTCTTCACACAATTCATCAAACAGATCCTTTGTCTTACCGACAGTTTGAGGCATAGAGTAAGTTGTCTTGGAAGACATGGAATGGTGACATAAGAAGGCACTGATACGGGTTCGAAGGTGGTCGAAGATTTCTTAAAGAGTCCGTCTTGTTAGTAGTGTAACAAGGAGGAAAAAGAAGACGTTAGAACTAAGTATTTGTACATAAGAGTGTACAGACCAAGATTTCAAGATACGTTAGTGAGGTTTAATATGAAGAGTAGATGTAAGAGCACACTAAGCTGATCTTGTACATAGCAATTCAATGTGCATAGGTATAGTTATATGTAGAGTACGAATGCTTGGTAGACGTAGACTCGCGTTGTGTGCACTGGTTGCAGATCCATGAAACTTTGTAGCGACCAAGTCAGCTCGTTAAGTAGTTGCATATCTTATAGTGGCATTGAAGTGAGAAATCATGTCTTAAGATCAAATTTTTTAAGTAGAACAAGTGGTTGTAAAGCCACAGCATTTACAAAGTCTACTTTTTCAACCCTGGGCAAAGACTTAATCATGCAATGCTGATTTAAGACTGCTTCTTGGGGTCTCCAGCGAATATTGCGACTGTTTACTTACTAACTAAGCTAGTTGTGAATGTAGTGAAATAGGATCAACGCTCTGCTAGAATTGAATCATTGACGGAAAATTGGAACAGCTCTTCCACTATGGAGGAATGTAATGAATTGATTGGAAACATTTGAGGATTTATGTACTAGTGGTAGGAATCAGAATTGTCCAGCTAATTGTGCAAAGGCTAAATTTTCAGACAAATTCATGTGTCAACTGTTTAAGGTCCTTGCCTCTCAAACCATCAAGACAAAAGTCAAGCTTCCTATTTGCAAACTGTACAATACAACACCATGTTCAAATCACTATTGGTACTTGCTTCCAAAAATGGCCTTCCTGAGTTGTTGAATACTTACTCCCCTATAATATAGCTATTGCTGCATTGATTTCGGCAAATGGTGCTTGTTAGAAATGCATAGAAGGATATTGATGGATTTCAAGACATCTTTCTTAATGTAGTGTATAACAGTATAACTTCATTGTACTTAAGTGGCTTGAGTCAACCATTCAAGAGTTAATGATTACAGTGTCATGTAACCACAATTCAATGCTTTGTAGTACCTGAAGTTAGTGTTGGTTCAAAGCTGACATGATGAGAAGTCTACCATTGCGGTAGGTTACAATGAAGTCTGTTTAATGTATACAGTGCCAAAGGCTGCCTGCCTTACACTCCAGCCACATGCATCGAGCAAAAAAGCTTCTGGACTATGTTGTTTCTGTATTTCGTTCATTAACGCTGACTTATTTCAGAAGGTAGAAGTGTTACAAAGATTATAAAAGTGTTGCTTCTGGTTGCCAAAGTGGAAATGTGTCCCCCTCGAGGGAGGTGTTTAATGGCGTTACGTTGCCCCTATGTGTGTGCCATAATGCACTGATGTCTGGACATACAATTAATTATTTAGGAATTTCAGGGCAATGGGCATATGCATATCTTTAGAAACGGGGACATGTTATAAGCTTTGCTAATTGTAATTATTACGGTGCAGTTTGATGTTTCATGTCCACAGATGTATGCTAATATCGTTTTTGTTTCCCGCTACATACTGAAAATGAATGCTGGCACATGAGTGTATGTTATGTCCACATGTAACCTTGTACAGTGTACTTACGTACAAATTTATATCTTAAAACATATTCTGCTGCAGCAGAGACTTAATGTTGTAATTTGCTATATTTTTGTTTCATTCTGTTCCAAAGAAGTTTTTTTTCAAAAACCATATCAAGCAAATATTGACAAGTTATTTCGATGTTTGTAAATGATAGTTATTATTTTTGTGTATCAGTTAAAAAGCTATGTAGTAAACATGCTTCAGTTGTTTTTGTATACCTCATACAATGGATTTAAAAATGAACTTTATTTTAAAGGTTTGGCAACTGGTGTTCACCTTATCATTTAGACAGAATGTAGCAAAGTGCTGTAGGTATTCTGTGATTATACAACTGCATCTTTTGCCCAACATGTGTAAATCATCAAACTTATAACACAACATTTATCTACTGAGTACATGCACCACAGAAACTATTGTCTCAAAAGGTAAAACTTGTCACTTTCCTCTCTTTTTCACCTTACACTTCCCTCACCTTAAACATTACCGTAAGGCCCATAATATAAAATTCAGTGTTCGCCAGTGCTTTAATTGATTTTCTCAGTCAATATCCAAGCTTGCTAGCCTAAGTATACCATCATGCACATACTGTGAAAAAGGGTATGGTACGAGTGTAATCACACAGTATGGTACCTATGCTACATTGTATGTGTGTACATGTAGCCAGTTGTACTGTGAAAAGGATATTCCTTTTCTTGCTGCAGTACCATTTGACATGGAATGTACCATTCATAGAGGCAGGGGTAGGGAAATGAAGTCTTCAAATTTCCTGTACTTACATGTTGTCAACATTGTACTTGTACTTGACTACAGTAATACAACAAAAATTCCACAATACAATGACGCAATGAATGCTACTGTATAACTTCATAACATACAGCAAGAGATCTGATATAGTGACCTGTTAAAGTAAGTCTTGACTGGCATAGACAAGTCCATGTAGTGCTCTTCTAACAAGCTATCCTGAAGTACAGCTAGAGGATAGTGGCAGAACCATCTATCTGTTCAGGTTGCGTCAGTATGAACCGTGCATGAGTTCCAGACAGGTTTCTGTCTGGTACCTGATTCTGGAGATTTAATAATTTGTCAAGTACTTAACAATAAAGCGTTGAAAAGTACTCACTTCATTGCATCCTGTTTTCTTTGTGATGCCTGTTCTTAGTATTAAAGGTAAGTTAGTTCTGCTGTTCTTTATTCTATGTTTGACATGAAAAAGGTCACCTCAAAACTGTGTAAGTAAGCTTAGTATTTTTGCATGTGATATAAAATCTTTCAATTACACATGTACAAAACGTCCATGGCTACCTTACTCGCATCTTCACCTTGCACCTCAAGTCATTTACAGCGACCAAATGAAATGGGCTGCACCTGACTGAGACATGGTGCTTCTGAAGCGCCGACTAGTGCCGGATGAAGGACTACATCTGCTGACATCCATCGACCATCACAACAAGCGCTACGTGATGGTCGTTCTAAAGCGCCCCCAGTGACTGGTGTAAGTACTGCAGGCACGGGCTTTCATTCACCATACACAACCAAGCTTCATCTGACCGTGTCACGACCATACTTTAAAAGGTACCTCAGCAAGAGTATACATAATTGTAAATTGAGTGAATGTTCGAGTAAGATGGAGTTAACTCAGTAGGCTACAAATAAAACACAATAATTACATCACAAATTGAGTGAAGATGCAAGTAAGGTGGACTAAAAGTAGACCCAAAAGAAACATAATCATTACATCACCAGAGAGAAAGAAGAAGCTTTGTTGTATCTAACCCATTACATTTGCACAGTTCTTAGCTACTAGTTATATCGTCAGGTTGGTAAGACACGGAGTAGAGAGACAATTTTTACACTAACAAGTCCGTCTGTCACCCTCCTCATTGCAATTCTGACTGGTTCACATTGTACTGCAGCACAGGTGTCGCTGCTATAGATGCATTCTCAAACGTACGATATTTGCATATCTACACATATGCGTGGCCATAGGGAACTGTATCAGGGAACCAGTCAGAAATACCCAGAGGAAGGTGACAGACGGTCACCGAAACGTCGGCTGAATAAAAGACTTGGTTGTGTAAAAAAAAGAGTCTCTTTACTATCGTTTTGCAGTCAGTCTTTGATTACAAGATGTTTGTCCAGTTTGACTCCAAATGTGTCCCGCAGAACCTTCAGGATGTCATCGTCACTCTCCAACCTCCTGGTTGCCATAGTAACGCGGATGCCGTATCGTGCGGTGGTGAGCTCCCTGCCCATGCAGGTTATGAGACCATCCGCTAGGTGGAGCACGCATACAGGTTGCACAGAGAAGACATGATGAAACTGTTGTGTCCAGTTGCATGCCTTGCCAAAGTCTTGCAGCTCACGTTCTTGTAAGGTAAACTTGTACTTAGTCACCCATTGCCTCGAACTTGCCATGTCGTTTCCCTGTGTTCCGCCAGGCGCCGCTTTAAATTTATAGCAAGCATTCTCCAGTTTGGTTGCGCTAGCGCTCCTCTTGAGTCGCTGCAGGAACCACATGTCTCCCTCTAATCGAAGCCTGTAGGGTGAAGCAATACGATGCATACGTATTGAACGTTGTATATATATATATATCTATATATATATCTATATATATATATATATATATATGTATACATATCTATCTGTATATCTATCTATCTATATCTATCTATATCTATCTCTATCTATCTATCTATCTATCTATCTATCTATCTATCTATCTATCTATCTATCTATCTATCTATCTATCTATCTATCTATCTATCTATCTATCTATCTATCTATCTATCTATCTATCTATCTATCTATCTATCTATCTATCAGACATACTAGTAAACTGCAATGAATGGATGGACAGTTTGCCTCTACTCTCCAAGTAGAGGTTTGGGTTTTGGCTTACTTTTGACGTGTTTTAGGCTTTTTTATCGGGCTTTCCTTTTCTGAACTGGTATCTTTTTTTTGTTAGCATATAGTGCAAAAAAAAAAGCCCGATAAAAAGCCTAAAACACGCCAAAAATAAGCCAAAGTGCAAACCTCTGGATCTGCTTTGTAGTTTACCTCTCCATTACGATATTTACTTCCGGAGAAGTTGACATATATTTTACTATCTTAGATCATTAGTTGATTTGATAATTACAGCATTACCTGTATGTCCCGGTAACGTCAGTGTGCTCCTGGTCCTCTGTCAAACGGATGGGCGCACGAAACAAACACATGTTCCCCACGTCAGCGACCCAATCCTCTCCACCGATGCTCACCACGTTTAGGCAATGCCCCATCTCCCGCCCGTATACCTCTAACAGTGGGCGATAACCCTGCGCCGATACGATCTTAGAACTAAAACCAAGCTGCTTCAGTAGCCAGGAGAACAGACCATTCAGCTCGTAACAGAGCCCTCCTCGCCTCTTCACGACAATCTTGTTGTAGATAAGCTGAAGATCAAGGACGATCTCATCTCCACAGTGGATGCTGCACACAGAGATATCGAAGACATCTAATATTAATTAAAAGTATGACCATTTCATAACGTCGTCGTATCAAACAGATCACAATCCTGTTCAGGGTAGAAAAACGTGTCACGGAACAAATGTTAGTTAACCATAGCTCATTGAGCATCTTCGGTGGTGTATTGGTTCTGTATCACCTAATAGTATGTACTTTTTAACATGAGATTTTGAGATTCCATTTTGTTGACTTTGGTAACTCAGAGCGGGCTTGGTTTCTTATGTGGTGTTTTGTTTTTTGTTGTTCACCTGACAGGATGGCAGAGACAAATTTAGATAATTTATATGATGTCCTTGCGACTAACTTCTACCCATATGTTAACGTGTAACTTTACCTGAGGTTCTCGAAAGGAACGGCCAGCATGTGCGCCAGGTGGATGGCGCGAAGGTTCTCCAGGGTAGGGCGGGTGTCGCCATGGTAACGAATCCGTGACAGGTATCGTTTAACGTCCATGCCTCAGCTTCAATCTGTGGAAAGACGTACGCAATGAATTTACTGCGTTTGTTTGTAGGCACAGTATATCGCTCGTTTGTAGGTATCTGTAGATATAATTGTGTATAGATAGGGAGTATACCGTACGTGTACCAATTATCTGTTGTTATACTCATAGGAAATTCAAACCCTAGTACTGGATAAATTACGGAGATAATATCCGGACGTTTCGAGTGACATCCACTACTCTTCTTCAGTTATAGTTCGGTTTTGGGTATCGTTGTAGCCAGTGTCGTTATACAGACAAACACACCGAAAACAATACCACCGTTTTCACAGGGGTAACATGACCTGCATTTTTAAGAATTTTAAACACATCATTACTTACCTCACCAAACGTTTTGAAAGTTGGCACCGCCCAGTATTGATGAACAAACTCAAAGCCTGGCGAGCAAAGTTGAGAAACTCACACTGCAACTAATTCGTTACTTACTTGGTAAAATCAAGTTGTCTGCACCCTTGCAAGAAACTGGTATAACTTGATTTATGTCTTCACATCACTTCACATCACAAGCCCGGGGCTATGATACCACTGAGACGTCCTCGATCCGGTCAGACAGGGGACCAAAGAAAAGTGGCCACCTCGGACAGGTCTCCTTGGCAGGTTTGACTCTATGTGACTTTTTGCAAACTCTGATTTAGGGTTTCTTGTTGACCCTAATTTAGGGTTTCTTGGTAACAATTTCACCCACTTTCCTATTCGTTAGATTCTTTTGTAGCCTGTCTTACACAAGCTCTCGGCCGGAGGTTAATGACCCCCACAACTTCGGGGCGACCGGCCGCCTGGAGCGCGATTAGTCAGGCTAGATTCCTCTGTAACCCAGTAACCTACTTCCACAAATGCTTCCATGTCGATCTTACATCACGGGAATTCACTATGCTGCACATCTACGGCACGTCGCAAGGACGCGCTGTAGATGTGTGGCAGAATTTGTTCATTTGATGTTTTCATGTTTATTTATGATTATTGGCTTTCAATGCATCTACAGAATGTAAAACAAAGGCTCTGGATAGCCAAGTATATGCCATGTGTATTGAAAAATTGCAGCCTTGTGTTGTTTTTAAATACACAGACACATTTGTCGCAGGCCGTAGTACGATTTTGGTGCCGTAGAATATTTAAACAGGCTGAGACAGAATCGACCATCACAAGAATGTGAGACAGTCTTTTCGTAACAAGACCACAGAATTTTGTGCGACATATGCACAACTGCTACAAGAATATGACCTCAACGACGTGTATTACTACTAGTAAGCCCTACCATCTGCATATCTTTAATATAAGTTTTTTTTTAATTAGAAGAGAAGCAACATTCCTGCTGGTTTACACCGACAATATTAATATGATCTCAAATATATATTCTACGAAAATAGCAGCCCAGCGAGAAATCTTAAATAAAGGTTATGAAGGATGATATATGGATACGCTTATGGGAAATTTGGTCGTATAACTCGCAAGTGCGACCTAAGAGGGCACCCCTTGGTCTTGATATAAGCTCTTTGGCGCCACGTGTGAAATTTATTGATCACTAGGGGCGTGATAAATGTCGCTTATTTCAACAACACCAAATAAGAGTCGAGTATCTACCGCTGGCCGACAGATGATGGGCCTACAACAGTCAACGTAAAAACACATCAATCTTCATATTTACTCGGGTCAAGCCAAACAGGCGCCGTAAAATACACGCCACCTTTCAGAAAATCAATCCGTAACGTAAAAGGTGAAGAGAAAGGAACTGAACTAAACAGGTTGCAATAAGTCAACACTGGTTAAATGCTACCTGATAACTCCCTATACGGTTGGTTTGTTGGTGATATTAGAGTTATTGCTAATGATGCAACCAAGGAGGCTTTCTTTTTCAACCTCCTTGGTGAAACACATGCAGTATATTTGTTTGTTTTTTTCCTCTGAGTACGGAGATTTTTTCGGTGTGTCTGGAAAAGAAACTGTCTTGCAGTATTAGAGCACAACACTTGCATCTGTTGGACATGTGGAATTCGAACATCTAACGTCTTTTGCACAATTCTCTCGCTGCCAGGGGCTGAGTTGGGCACCATATACCGTGGGCCTCTTCCCTAAGAGCCAGTGGTCATACCAATAGGGGCTCAGGATTCCCTGTCAGTATGAAGATAAGTTATCAAAGCCTCCAAAAGTTCTCAGTCGGACAATACTTGGTAAATGTTTGCATGCATAGATAAACAGGGTTAAGATGTTCCAAATGCTCCTGGCTTTAAATGTTCTCGATCTGGGTAACGTTAAGTATTAGAAGTGGAACATTCGAAGTACCAACCAGGATTTACTTGTCAAGCCGTTAGCAATGGCAATATAGTGGCAATGCCAAAATCCCTTTCGCGGTTGTCTCCCAAATGCGCGGTATTAGCGTGTGATGTCTCTCTGGGTTGCTGGATGTTGTCCTTGCTTTATTATATCCCCTGGCATGGACACGGCGGGAGTTACTCCGCACTGGTTGATAGAAGACAGGCCTGCAGACTGATCGGGGTTACTCACTGCCAAGTTCTCAAACTTGACCTGGCGTGCACCCAGCTTATGGGAGAGAACAAAGCTTGGAAGCTTACTTACCCCCCCCCTTCCCTTAACATGGACCACAACCATCACTGATACCGCAAGTCAACAAGGACCGACTTTCTCATTGATTCTCTAAATCTAATCTAAGGATTCAAAAGTTTTCCGATGCCCTAAAGATTTTCTAGATTCCCCCCGGCCACTGCGGTGTTATCTGTCATTGTCCAGTTCTGTCAGCGTCTTTATATAACGTGTTTCAATACGTATTTGTGGGGACATTTTGTAAGGCGCCGCCAAGACGAGGGACTGTAGTCATGTATGGTCAACCTATCAGGTCCTATTATCATATGGATTGTATTCATGGATGAATCATATAGATGTAGCAAGGATTGACAAATACGTCAAATAAGTCATCGTGTGGATGTACCAAACATTGTAGGCCTCATTGAATGGTCTCAAAATGCTTGGGATCTGAAGCTCGAAAAAGATCCATGGCGTGCTAGTTTTCAGTGGTTAGGTGACCTTTAGAAGATACAAAGTATTAAGTATGATCAAGAATTCATTCACTTTCTTGGCCCAAGTTGTTATGCGGAAGGATGTAAAGTAAATACTAGTATTACACCCAAGCGCGTTTACAGCTTCCAAAAGTCAGGCGAAGTCCGGGACCAATGATACATTGTCATCGTGCATTGCTGTCGATAACCAGTAGGAGGTGCTGCAGTTGGATGCTGTCATACTGTTACAACAGTAGCAGCGCATCCACACGCGAAGAAGTGACTGCTCAAACTGCCAATCACTTGGACACTAATCATCGATATCCTTGATCTCTGCTACCTACCTTCTATTCTATATGAACAGTCCTGACTGTGAGGAGTCAGTCTACATGTCTGTGAGGAGTCAGACGTGTCTGTGACAGACACGTCTGACTCCTCTCAGGCATGTCTAGTGTGAGAAGGCAGACATGTCTGTGAGGAGTCCGACTTGTCTGAGAGGAGTCAAACATGTCTGTGAGGAGTCAGATACGTCTCTCCTGCCTTCAAATTTCTTTTCTTTCATTCATTGAGGCGCATTTCTATAAAGATTTCGGTGAATGTAAATAACATAATGATGTGTCAAGCAGCAAATAACAGTCACGCCCATGTGCATAAAATCACGCCATGGAATGAACCAGACCCAATGCATGGAGATAGCTATAGCATCCGGTAATGAAACTATCAAGAAGCATGGTCAGATAGCCTGGTCGTCACGCGATTGGGGGTACTATAACGCTAGGTGGTATTCGATGGGAAATAAGTGGAAAATCAACTGGAAATGGTGTTGCAACGCATTAAGAGAGCGCCTGGATCATGTTGATTAACGAAGGAAGGCCAAGGACGCCCGGTGTTAGTGCGTTACCAAAGAGGGAGGTGGATCTCTAGATAGAGAGTACATCGAAGTAGAAGGAAGGCCAAGGACGCTCGGTGTTAGTGCGTTGCCAAAGAGGGAGGTGGATCTCTAGATAGAGAGTACACCGAGGTAGACATAAGGCCTCTATGAACAGAGGCGCTTGAACCGTGGCTTTGCATTGTTTGGCGGCATGACACATTGTGGGCATAGTAATTTTTTAATCTGGAGGTTAACTCCATGGGCAAAAGAGGTGCTTCTTAGCTTGACCTTCAATAGTGCTCCCTCACTGCAGGTGCAGATAGGTTGTATTTTAAGTTAAGCGTATCAAGATGTGGGCATACGTACCTGTCTTGTCGTCCGAACACAACTTTTCATACTGCACTAGGAACGGACGGGGATGGCGTGTGTTGGAGAGGTTAGATATTCTACCACAAAAAGAATGACATTGTTACTGTTGTCAAAACATATATATATTCCTATAGACAGAAAATAGTCATGAATGTCTAATTCATGAATAACGTCAACGGTTTACAAAAGCATGCACTCTGTCATTACATTCCTATTATCTAACATCGTGGACTGCTGCACGTAGCAGGTTGTCAGCAATACATACTGCGAAAAGAAACGGCATAACGTTATTCCATATAGGCCACAGCAAGTAATTTTTATGGATGACATAAGCGCGCACATTAATTTTCGCCTGATTTTGAAAAAAAGACAAGAATTTTGTTGACCTCTGACAATGGTCAACATGCCAAAAATGGGCAAAGATGTCTGTGGCCATGTCGGAACGTGGATATCAGATATATATGAAGCGAGAAGACTAGACAAGGCCCTGCTGTTGTTTGTCGAAGCTGTCTTCGTAATTACATTAAATGCTTTTTTTTTTGGACAGGACCGATTGAACACCTGTGTAAAATAAGCACGTGTTCATGATTCGTCCAAATGGCGCCGTCCTGAGTTTTGCGGTAATGTTCTGGGTTGTTATTTGTGCCAATTTTCGGGTACTTTTTCGAGTTTTGGTCGGTAGAATGTCTTTCTAAACTGTGCGGTAGAAAAATGGGAAGTTTTAGAGGTAGATTTATTGCCGTTCTCGTGGTGTTCTTGGAGAAAGTGCGGATTTCCTGACCTGGTGGATTTTCGACAAGACATAAAAATGGCGAACGAATGGCGTGGTTTGAGACGTCTTTTTTTCGCACAGGTAAGCAACAAACTATTTGGCAGACATCTTCTTCTTCTTCGTGCAAACCTCCAGCCCGGTTATGTCATGAAGAGCATGTCATATTCAACAAGTTATATTCCGCATGATGTAGTTCTGTAACTTCCGAGCGACCATTCCTTATTTAAGACAGCCTTTGAAATACTAGTAGTCAATTTTGCCGCGTTTTTTTAACATTTCCCATGTGTGGTGTGTGCTAAATATGTAGGTCTAACCAAGGAGGTTAACTCGTCAAGTATACAACGTTACGAGTTCAAATTTGTAAAAAAAAAAGCGCCAATAAATACTGTCTTTTGCTTTCCTCCACGTGATTCAAAATACCATTGAAATGTGTGAAACACGTGTGAAACC